ACCCCGCCCCACTAAAATCACAACCCCTCCTGCCCCTCTCCGCCCCATGCAAACCGTAACCCCTCCTGCCCCTTCCCGCCCCTCTCAAACAACTCCCAGACGTCATGGTCGGTGAGGTGTGCTCCTCCGCCTCCCTGGGCGCCCTGGGCGTCGTGAATAAGTACCAGATCCCGTTGGTGTCGCCCGCGTCCACCGCACCCGCCCTCTCCATCAAGGGGGACTACTTTTTCAGGCGAGCTCCTTGCATGAGGCGGCGGCTGTGGGGCCCGCCGAGGATCTTCGTGGGCCAGTGGGCCTGTTGCGGGACAGATTGTATTGCGGTAGCCCCAAGGCACCTGCCGGCCACGGTTCTGAGGAACGTCGACCTGATTGCTCGCTGCGGCCATGTCAGACGCGGCGCGGCCTGCCGGCGGGCGTGGGGCTGGCGTGCCTGCATGTTTAAATCGGGGTCGCGCACACCTGCACGCACCTTGCCAGTGCGCCTCACCTTCTGACACGTGCCGCGCCCTCATCCACAGGACTGTCCCGTCTGATAAGTACCAGGGCCAGTTTGCAGCGCGCAGGATGATCGCGCTGGGTGCAAAGACCGTTGTCATCGCATCAAGCAGCGACTCCTATGGTGCACAGGGGGGCGGGCAGGCGGGGTTGAGGGGGCGGGGGGTGTGCGGCAGGGAAGGCAGGGGCTACGCCTGCGCTGCGGTGCGGGGTAGCGTGTTGTGGTGGGCGTGGCACCGCACACAGCAATGGCAAGCAGTTTCGCATCAGGGCGCGCTTGGACCCCTCTGTGGTCAGCTGCAGCCCGTGCTGATCGACCTGGGCGGGGCCACCACCGATGGCACCCATGCGACCCGAAACCAAATGCCCAACCTGACCAACCTTCGCAGGCCAGGAGCTGGCCTACAACTTTATCGCGGCCTTCACCCGCGACGGCGGGAAGGCCTTCAACGTGGAGGTGCCCGCGCAGGCCCCGAACAAGAACGCGTCAGACATAGTGGACGCGGTCAGGGCGCGCTCGGCCAACGGCGTTTTCATTGCCACCAATGACCTCGCGTGGGGCGCGGGTGAGCGCGCCCCGACGGCGCCCGGCAGGGGCGGGGGGCAGCGGGGGCAAGCAGGGGCCCGCTCTGCCGGCCGGATCGCAGGCCGCTGGGCCGCGGCCCGCCACGTGCGCGCACGCGCGGCTTGCCTCTCGCGCTTAACGCCATCAACAGCGGCGGCCGCGCTGCTGCCGGTCCCTGGAGATTGTGCATTGCAGGCGCACGCTGGTTGCTCACGCGCCGCACCCCCCCTGGATGACGTCACCCCGCAGACATTATCAAGGCCCTGCGCACCGCGCAGCCGCCGCTGAGCGCCGTCACGATTTTTGGCGGGGACTCCCTCATGGACGCGACGGTGCCCCTCAGGATCGGCGCGGCCCTCGCAAAGGGCGTCCGCGGCAGCGACGTCACCTTCGGGTCGCCCGCGTTTGTCGCCGCCTTCAAGACCTACACGGCCGGGAAGAACATATCGTGCGCAAACCGGCTGGACTGCAGGAAGCCTTATGCTAGGTTTTGCCGACTGTCCTTTTTCAATTCGCACAGCGATTTGTTTCAACCCAAGACGCAGAGCGACAGCGCCGCATGCCTTACATCCCACGCCCATCGTGCCAGCCACACAAACCGCACGAGCTCCCGTCCCTACGGCAAGCACTCACACCCCCCCCCTTGCACATCCCCCTCCCCCCCCTGGGCGCCAGGTACGTGCCCAAGGCGTCCCACGCGTACGATGCGGCGGAGGCGCTGATCGAGGCGTACCGCCGGGCGGAGGCGCCCAAGGACGGCAAGGCCATCCTGGCGCAGCTCGCAGACGTCCGCTTCAAGGTGCGGGGCGCGCGGTGGATGATGATGGGAGGACTGCCTCGATAGAAGAACGCATTGCCGACAGCCTGCAGGGCCGAGCCTTTGCCCCACAGGCAAGGCTTGATGTGTGGGAGAGGATGTCTCTGATAGGAACCCTTGCTAGCGGCGCTCGCCCCCCCTTCTCAACTGCGCCCGCACGTCGGCGCCGCCGACCACCCAAGCGCTGGCAAGGGCGCCCTCATTTGATCACGCACGGCGCACCATTGTTTTTTCCGCAGGGCGTGTCTGGCCCGATTGCCTTCAACGAATTCGGGGACCTCAAATATGACCCCAAGGGGCCCAGGCTATATACCGTAACTGAGTTTGGTGCGGACGGCAGCATTGCCGTCGTCAGGGGCGAGTGATACCCAACAGCAATGACATCACTGCCCCGGTGGCACCTGCGCGTGCCGCCGCCCGGCTCAGGGCTTGTTTGGCTGTTGATGCTGGGCTGGCTGCACTGAGTGCGGCAAGGGCCAGCGAGGTCCACCACTTTAGTTTGGAAGTGGGGGTCGGGGCTCGGGCAACCTGCCTTTCTACAGTTGCAGTGTTTGTTGCATTGGTTGGAATAACGCGGAGCTGATCTTTCTGATTTTGATTTGATTACACTGCTACGTGCTGCAGGAAAAGCTGCATCGGGAGCTGATGGCTGCCCTGCCGTTGCGGCAGCATCCTCGTTGACTTACCTTGTCACTTGCTTCCTTTTGGAGTGTTGGTCGCCTCGATTGTGGTTGGCCCTTTTGGTCCTTGCTTACAGCGCCCATGCTTGCGCTTTGGCTGGTGGTAGGTCTGGAACTCAATCCATCACTGCAGGGTGGTCTTGTCGCGGAGCGAGAGGCACAGGCGCCGGGCACGGCAGGGGTACACGACAAGTCCTGTCCTTTTGCCCCATTTATCAGCAGTGCACGGTAAGAGTTCCAGGCTGCCTGTATGGACAGCAACCGTTGGAGTCGCGGGAGAAGCCATGATGATGTGAACATAATCGTCCCCTTGTCACTGCAGGCCAGGTCGCCAGCTTCAGCTCGAGCGCATGCAGGGCAGGTTGGGCGGGCGGGCCCGGGCAACAATCGGGTGGGCCAGGGCGCTTGAAGTCCCTTGTGAAGCCACATCGACGAAGACGCCATGGGAGATCTATTTGCTTCGGTATAACCTGGTGTCACCCGAGAGCCGATGGGGGGTCACTCTTTGCTTCCACACCAGCACCTGTGCTGCAGCTGCGTGAGGTTAGCCGGGTTCGCGTCTTGCTAGGATCACGAGATTTGCTGAACGCGAACACGCATCTGCAGCACCCCCGACAACACCCAAAATTGAGCACTGCAGCAGCAAGCCGGACAAACACCGCGAGGGCCGCTCGAGAGCGGGCTTATTAGGAGCCATGACCGGTACCAAGAATAAAAAGAACAATGAAAATGCTGAGCAGGATCAGGACGACATGCTCGGCACAACGCCCTTTGCGTTTGCGCCGGCCGGGCGCGAGGCGGGGTCGATTGGTCTTTCCCTGCGGCAGCGCTCGCGCTCCCTCAGGCTGACCCCGAGCACCCGTATCGTGGAGGGCATGGAGGCCGGCGGCAGCATCAGCCTCAACGGCAGCCTGCGCGTCGCGCCATCAATACGTCCGCCGCGGAAACCGCGGGGGCGCAAAGGGTGGCAAATGGCGCTTGCTGCGCTCGCCGCAGTGGCCTGCGTTTTCGCGATCGCGCAGATTGGCAGCAGGTGAGCGCCGATGATACGCGCACCATCGATGCAGTGCCCGGCCGCACGACGGGCTGGGAAAAGGGAAGGACGCTCGTGGGGGCCGCCGTGGCTGGTTTTGGAGCTCCGCCAGCGCTGAGAGGCTGTCAAGCACCCAACCCACCCCGCCGGCGAGCGGCACAGCACCCGTCTGCACCTGGCGTCATCCCGCCGGGGGCCCCTGCTGCCCCGCGCCCTGGCTTGACGCCACCTTCCGCCGCTACCTCGGTCCTTCCTAGGCTGTACGTCTTGCAGCCGCAGCGGGGCAGCGGCGGCAGTGGCGGTGGCGGCCGCAGCGGCAGCGGCAGCGGCGCCTTGGACGTGGGCGGCTCCGCTGGTGCCCAGGCAACGAGGCAGCTGATGGACCATGATGCGACGCAGGACGCCTGCGCAACCGGGCAGCGGTGCGGCATCTCCTGCTGCCAGGTGGGGTGCCATCCGGGTCGGCCGTTTGGCGGTTACACATCCCTTCGTTATTGCCGCCTCGCCTCGGAACGAGGCCTCCTGGTAGCCCCGCATCTGAGAGGCCCTCCCCCGAGCGCACCCCTTTCCCTGCACGCGCCCTCCTCCGCGACCCCGCAGAGCTGGGAAAGCTGCTTTGGAGGCACCTGCTGCCCGGCTTCCCGGGTTTGCGGCGCCAGCGGCTGCTGCCCCGATGGCATGATCTGCCAAGAGGGGGTTTGCCGCGCCATCGGCCAGCGGAGCGGCTGCGGACCTGGTCAGCTATGGACCAACGACGGCTGCTGCAACACGCAGTTCGTCTGCGGAGGTTCCTGTTGCACAGAGGGCGAGTGCGACCCGGTGACTCAGCGCTGCTGCGCAAAAGGTGATAGGACGAGCAGCCGCCCAGGGGCTGGCGCACAGGGGAGCCGCGCGCGAAGCGGGTTGCGCGGCACATGCTCATGGCGCAACTTGTTCGACCGCATTGATATGCAAGGCGTCATGCATGAGCGCGTCGCCTTGTTGCTCAGCGCGCGTGCCGCACGTCCCCCCTCTGACATGCGAGCGCCCCTGTCTCATCCCGGCAGGCGGAGTCATCAGGACTATCGCGGGTGGCTGCTGCCCGGCTCCACAGGTTTTTTCGGGCGGGTTGGGGGGCCTTGCTCCGGGTCAGGCACAAGGCCACTTCATGGGTGCATTCGGCTTCAGTCTCACACACTTTGCCCACCCAAGTTTTTCACAAACATCGCCCAGCCTCTCTTCGCACCCCTTGATTGTGATGAAAATGCTGCCTGTGTTGAGCGCTGCTGGTCTATCACCTGCACCGCGTCACCGCCGCCCTCGCATCCCCGGCACAGATGTGCCAAAGCACCACCAGCGGCGCGTTCTGCTGCCCGGACGGCACCCAATGCTTCCAAGGCGTCTGCAAGGACAAGAAGTCGTTGTAAGCCTGAGGGATGGGAGCGGCGGCGGGGGGCTGCGGCCTGGGAGGGTGACGAGGGCACCTGGCGGGGCTAGGCGTCCACCTATTCACCCGCTTGGAGGGGCACAGCGACAGCTGTCACCTTGCCTGTGGCTGTCACCTTCCCGGAATCATCAATGTGTGTTCCCCCTTGATCCGTGCCTTGATTGCCCTCAACAACCCTGCCGCGCCCCAACAGTGCGTGGCTCTCGACCTGCTCAACCGACAAGCTGGTGGGTGGCTTGTGTTGGGTGGGATGGGGAGGGGAGTGCATCTGCGTGGGTGTGTGTTCATGTGCGCGGGGTGCATTAGGTTTGTGAGGTACGTGCGGATGCGTGTAGTTGCAGGCGTACGCCCAAACATGGATTCATGCATGTGCATGTGTGTGTGTGTGTGTGTGTGTGTCTGTGTGTCTGTGTTTTGTTTTGATCAAGGGGTTGTCAAGAGATACTCATGGGTCCATGGCAGGCTTCATGGGCGGCGCACAGAGGCGGGTTGGGCCAGCCAGGGCATGGGTTCCAACGCCCGAATACCGCAGTCACCACGCACCTGCGCGTTCGGCCTGCCGCCTCTTCCCACTTGTCGCAGTGTGGCCCAGCACCCAACCAGCTGTGCTGCAACCCTGACGAGACCTGCATCGACAACCAGAGGTGCTGCCGCGAGGCCAACCGCTGCGGCACCCAGTGCTGCGACGCCCCCGGATCCACCTGCTGCGGCGGCAACCAGTGCTGTGCCCCGGGGCAGGCCTGCCTCAACGGCCAGTGCTTCGAGCAGGGCTCCAAGCTCTGCTCGGGCCGGGTGTGTGGGCCGTCAGAGGACTGCATCAGTGGGCAGTGCGGCCCCGTGGGATCGATACTCTGCGGCGGCCGCCTCTGCGGCCCGACGTTGCTGTGCCTCAACAACCAGTGCGTGCCTCAGGGCAGCTCGATTTGTGGGCCGACCATCTGCCAGCCCGGCACGATATGTCAAGGCAGCGTCTGCTGCCCCACGGTGAGCCTTGCGAGGTGTTTGTATACGACTAGTCGCGAAGAGGAGTGGACTAGCTTTTTAGGTGCCTATGTACTGCTCGCTGGTTCTTGGACAGATAGATGACAGCACCTTTGGGCGACGGCCGTCACTGAACCCACACAAATGTCCACTGGACCCACACAACTGTCCATTGCCTGCCTCCCCATGGTGCCGCCCTTGGCCCGCTCGCTTACTCACACCCGCAGGGCAACATTGGCTGCAACGGCAGGCGCGCAGGGCGTACGACGAGGGGGCAGCGGCCGCGATCGATGCAGCGCCGGGCCCCGGCGCGGCCGCCCTGCCCGGGAGCATATCTGGAGAGGCCGGGCGCCCTGTTTTGCGCGGGGTTTGCTGAGGCTGCCACCAGCCTCGGTCTGTTGGTGGAGCCGAAATCAGCCTGACCTTGGGTTGCTCCCCCGCACCTGCTCCGTGCGGCGCCTGCAGGTGCTGCCCGGGGGACAACCAGTGCGTCCAGAACCAGTGTGTACCCCCCGGCATGCAGATGTGCTCCAGTGAGCGCTGGGCTCCAGGGTTTGCATGATTTTTGTGGGGCTAGGCTGCCCGGGTCCCAGGTGGCGCGTATCAGCCGCTGCATCATAGCGGCGATGGGGAACGCGGTTTGCCTGCTCCCATCCTGAGTTCACGTTATCCCCTGCCCGCACTCCGGCCTGCCCCGCGCCAACTTGCAGCCGGCATCCAGTGCCCCGTCACCACGACCTGCTGCGGCGGCAGCTGCTGTGCGGCTGGTTCGACCTGCTCCAACAACGTCTGCTGCGCGGGTCCGGTCTGCAACGGCGTGTGCTGCGCTGCTGGACAGTACTGTGGTGAGCAGCCGCCTGCCTTCTAGGAGTGCCACCCTCAGCCGTCTGGGAACCTCCCAGGCGCCCAGCTAGCTGGCTGCAGCTGCGACCGCTGATCCCGATCTTGTATGCACCGCTCGGGTTTGTCTGCCCCAACCCTGCTTGATCCCCTTGTCACACCCGCTCCTGACTGATGCACATGCACCCGCACCCGCCGCTTCCTGCAGGCGGCCGGTTCTTTGGAGGGTTTGGACAATTTGGCGGCCAGGTTTGCTGCACTCCTGGCACCCCCGGGTGCTAGCCCTCCACAGCACCGCGTTTCATGAGCCGTCCGGTCCTCTGCACTGCTGTCATGGCTTTTTGTAGCACTTGTGTTCTGTCTCTGCTGACGTATTCAGACGTTGCCCTGCATTGAAGCACATCGCTGCCTGCGACGCTGCAAGAGATTCCTCCAACACTGCGTCTGTCCATTCAGCCCAGTCCTGCAATCACAGCTGCGCAATAACCGTGAGCCGCGCGGCGCCGGGGGTATGTATGCTCCGCCAGCCCCCCGGCATGCAAAAGCAAGCGCGGTGGCCGTTGTGGATGCACAAAGTCTCTGCTTGCACGATCAAAAGTGTTTCCCATGAACCTTCCGTACCTGCCTAAACTTATTTGAAACCCAAGTGTTGTTACACAGGCTCCTCTGCTATTCTGCTGCACATGCACTCGCCATGCGGTGCTGCTGACCCTCGCTGCTGCTGGCCTCTGTAAGAACTGTGCTTGCTTCTTCTGTGCCCGCACCACGCGGCACGGCGTGCCCGCCAGCCAGGAGCGTCGCAGCTCCATCGCCGGCCGCGGCGCGCCGGCGGTGCGGGCTGCCAACTGCCAGAAGCTGACCGAATCCCTGTCAAAACCGACCCGCCGCTCACAAGGATGGCCACCTCTGGCGCGCCGCGTGCAGGCCCGCGGCCGCGGCGGCGCCCACCAGGCCCGCCACAGACGCGGTCCGCAGGCCGCGCGGCGAGCGGAACAGCGCCGCCGTCGTGAAGCCTGCGAGTTGCGGGCGGGGAGGAGCGTCTTGAGCGCAGGGCCGGCCGGCAGTCCCCCGCCTCCCTGCTCGGCACGTTGCCACGGACGGCTCTCGCCATGCCGCACGCTCCAACGCCACAGACCCCATGGCCGCCACAAGAATTGCGGCTATGCTCGGACCCCTGCCGCGCGGTGCGCCGCGCCCACAGATGTGCTAGGCCACTCACCAGCTGCTGCCGTCGCCACGCCGTCGGGCAGGCGGCCGTCCACGGTGTGATATATGTAGCTCTCAGACACCGCAAAGTAGAGCCCCAGAATTGCCGACGCGCACGCGAAGCGGCGCCCAAGGGAGCCGCTCATGTTGATGAGGCGGTTGGCCTTGAGCTTGACGCTGGAGAGCGCGGGCTCCGCGGGCGACTGCAGATAGCGGTAGCCGCCAATGGCAAACCCGGTGGCACCGCCTGCGGCAATACGTTGACGTGTTTTCATGATGGAGTGACGGCTTCTCTGGAAAGCGATAGCCAAGGCGCAAGCTGCATTGTGTGGTTTGTTTTCCAGGGGCAAGAGACCACTTGCAGACGCCCCAATATGACAACGAGGCATGCGTGCAGCGGGCGCTCGGTGCAAACTTGAGAGTGGAGCTGCGGCCTCAGTCGCGCACGGATCCTCCCCTCCAGGCCTCGCTTGGGGCGCCAAAAATGATGCACCCTCAAACTGCGGCCCCCTTCACTCAGCGTGCCGCTTGCTCCCTCAAGCTGCGACACACTCTATGCAGCCTCCTGCTCTCGCACCCCGCCATCTGCAGCACGCGCAGGTCGTCGGCCACAGCTGCTGCACCAACGCCCATTGCACGCAACCGCGCCGGCGGCCGGCTCACCTCCCAAGTAGCCCACGCCCGTGTAGAACTGCAGGTTCTCTCCCCAGCCTCTCCGCCGCGCGGCCGCCTCCTCCTGAAAGACGTACTCTGGCCCCTCCGGCAGCGTGAACGCGTGCTTGCGGCCGCCGACCGCCGTAGAGATGCCCTCGTACGGATCGTACAGGCGCTGCGCGCTCGCCGCTGAGAAAGCGCCCGCCTGCGGTGCAGTGTCGCGCAGAAGCTCGCTGGCCGACGTGCTCGGCGTCGGCGCGCTCTGCTGCTGCTGCTTCGCTGCCGCCGCTGCGCGCTCTTCCTCCTGCTGCTGCGGCGTCTTGCCAACCAGCCGGTCCAAAAAACCCATGCTGTTGTGCTGCTGTCGCTGTCAAGGCAAGCTGCGCCGCCGGAAAGATCCTGATAGGCACGGACAAGGGAGAGGTCACCGTTGTTCAGAGCTGGCGGACGATCTGGGACAAAACACCGGCAAACCGCTCGAGAAGGGTCGCGAAGCCCTACAAAGCGTGTTCAACGCACTTGTAGGCAACGGGGATGCAGCGAGCTTCTCCCCGAAGCATGGGCAGCGTGCGCGCTGCACCAAGCCGCGCTCACCCTTGCTGTGTGCCCCTCGATAGGCAATGGCGACCTCTCTCAGGCTTTTTCCTGCAAGCTTCTGCGATTTTGTGGTGATCACCGCAGCACGCAGGCACCACAAAGCTCTCTGCTATAAGCTGATGAAGCGACCTCAGAGGCGACTCTGATGAATTTCTCTTTACATTACGTATGTCGCGGTGACGGCTGCACCAGTGTCGTGTCCCGCCCCTGGGCCGCCGCCCTGTGAGAGCGAGTCAACAAGGATTTCACCCGTCACCCCCGTCCTCCCGCCGCTTCGGCCCGCGCGCCACCTCCTCCCGCAGCGTCTCCACGTATCCACGAATGGAGGTGAGCCCCGGATGGATCTCCAGGGCACGCTCGAAAGCCTGCAGCGCCGCCGCCGACTGCTTGAGAGACCAGTGGCAGAGGCCGAGGCCACTGGCGGCGCCAAAGTGGTAGGGGTTCAGGTGCAGCGCCATGTTGCAGTCGTCAATGGCTTCTTGGTAGCGGTGTAGCAGGTAGTACACCGTCGCGCGCTTGTTGTAGCCCTGGAGGGCGTGTGAAAATGGAGGATGGGCGGGTAGTTGACAACAAAGTTGACCACGCTGCTGCATTGCAGTGCAAGCAAAAAGGTCGCCCCACAATAGACGGCGCAAAGCAAGAGACACATTGTGTGCGCACATATGAATACAATGTGCAGCGCGTAATTTGTGACCCTGCACTGGCTCATGCGAACCCCGTCTCAATCTTCGAGGTTGCATATCCAGTCGACATGACTGGATTATGGTGTTGTTGCCTGCCCGGTTCTGAATCAACCCAAAGAGCAATTGATTGCGCAAACTCAGGGATCCACGCACACACTCAGATGCGGTACGTGTCAAGCCCCCCTTTCAACACACACGCATCAGAGCACACACACCTACCTCTGCACACAAACAACAGCAAAGCAATCAGTGTTGCAGACACACACCAAAAGGGATGCGCATGGGCCGACCGTCGAACCCACCTCAGCGTACGACGGCGCCAGCCGCACCACGTGCCCGTACACCAGCAGCGCCCTCTCCAGCTGCGGCGCCGCGCCCCCGTGCAGCAGCGGCTCCGCCTCCGCCATGAGCTCGTTCACCGCCGGGTCGCGGCTGCGGGTGAAGACCACCCACATGGCCGCGTGCGCCGCGTCCTGGAGCGCGGTGTCACGCAGGCAGAGCGCGAGGTCCGGCAGCACCGCCTCGTCGCCGGCGGCGCCTGCGGGGGTTGTGATGTCATGATTTCAGTTGAGTGCCCCGCTCAAACATCAAGCCAGCTACCAGCCAACCTGAGCGCAAATGCTCACAGGCGGCCGGCCCAATTGCTGCCATCGCGCGGGTGCTCTGGGGGCGCTCACTCAGGGCGGCGATCGCCGCGCGCCGCTCCGCCGTGTCGCCGCTCCTGAGTCGCTCCAGCTGGGAGTACAGGAACTGCTGCACTGGCGGCAGACGAGACGACAATGACTGCTCGACGCAAGGGGGGGGGCGCGTGGGGCGCGCACGGCAGGGTAGGTCTGACTGTGGAACGGGACGATGTTTCCCTGCGTGGCGGCGCACTGCTGATACCCAGGCCGGTTTCCACAACAAGAGAGGCCATGTCCATGGTCCGCGCTTGCACCATGCAGCTGCCAGCTCTGCGGCGCGACCTGCCGCTGCACAACTGCCGCCCCGCACAGAGGGGTGCGCACGCTCCAGCATCAAGGGCCCAGTCGTGCTGTGCTGATGCGCCCGTTCCGCTAACAGCGCAATTCAGGCCACTGGGCTGGGCGCACCTTGATTTGGTCCCTGAGGGAAGCCGCCAGCGCAAAGTCCTCCTGTGCGATTGCCATGTTCAACTGCCTGCGAGCGCAAGCGTGATTCTAAATGGGTTGAGAGCTTCGAGTTTTTGAACAGCAAGCAACTCCATGCCGCTTGACGCCATCGGCCCGCGAGCGCCTGCGCTCGGCAGAGATGCACGGGCGCGCACGCATATGTGGCGCACGTGGGCTCACCCCTTACTGAGGGTGAGCTTCTGCCATATTTGTTCAACCTGCGCAGCGGACGGCACCAAAGCCGTTGAGTGGCGCACTATGCGAGTGGCGCATGGTGTCCTCACTACTCCTTTCCCACCTACAGCTTTACTGGGTAACCCTGGTCGCCCAGGTGCGCGCCGCACCTCCCGCGAGCTCGTTGCTTGGGAAGGCCCCGGGGCATCAGGGTCTGTGGTGCTGCTGCATGCCACCCGGGGCCGCGGTTGGGGGAGGCGCTTCACAAGCGCTCTGCGCCAGGAGCTCGGCGCCGCGCCGCAGCGCACACCCCGGCAGCTCTGAGAATTAGAGCGGCCGGAATGCAAGCCTCGGCCTACACCTGTCGAGGCCATGATCTTGTGCGCGGGCAAGCTCGAGGAAATCACGATCGAGCCAAAGACTATCCCGTGGATCAAAGCTAACCGCAAGCTTGATACCGTGTCCGTGCTGCAGCATAGGGTTTCTGATATGTACGAAGCTTCATACACACCTGCTGGATGGAGAGAGAGGGAAGAGGGGCAGATCGGGTTTGGTCAAAGGCTCCTACGCTCTGACTCGATTGTAATTGCATGATTTCTTGTGTTCAAACCTGATAGCAACTCGGCAACGCTAGTAGGCGTCTGGTCGTGATCTACTGGCGCATGCGCCACCACTGACGCGTCTTGGTGCGCTGGTCATCGCTCATTGGTCGCGGGCAGTTTCCCTGAACATAGTTAGAGGATCATCATTCGCCGATATGGCCACCAACACGGTGGAACCGGGCCCTCTCACGGGCGAGGAGCCCAAGCCATTGCTAGACATCAAGACTCCCACCCCTTCTGGTGAGTTGTGAGTTGCAATGTACAATTGTGCATGGCTGCATGAGGACACACGTGTTTGACGTGCGGCGTGTCGGCCTCGCCCACGCGCACCTGGGCGTGCACTGAGGTGGCAGCTGGGCATCGCAGCTTGCAAGCTGCTCGCATCAAGGGCATTGAGCAGCAGGTACATGAGGAGCGCATTCCACCAAACACGATGGGGGCGGCGGCAGGATAGCGCCGGGCCAACCAGCAAGGGCCATGTGGGTTTGCTTGAGTGCCTGTCCCTGCCCACTCGCTTCTCCAACCCCCAACCCACTATGCTGCGCTGCGCGCTCCTTCAAAAACACACACGTGAACAGACATCGACATCGCCCAATCTGTCAAGCCCAAGCACATCTCACAGATTGCAGAGGTCAAGCTGGGGCTGTCGCCGGATGAGTACGAGCTCCAGGGCCCCAGCAAGGCCAAGGTGGCGGGGATGGCGGCACATGACGGGGCACATGGGCGCATGCAAGGCGCATGCATGCGGAGCAGCGGCGTAAATGCAGCCCATGCGCGCTGCCGCCACGCGGCCTGCATCGTCTGGTGATGCGCAGCAGCCGCATGCGAGTAGTGGCAGCTGCACGGCTGTCCCATGAGGTTGCTGGGTGCACTGTCTCAATGCCCTGGCCCTGCAACCCTCTGCAGGTGCGGCTGTCGGTGCTAGACCGCCTGAAAGGCGCGGCCTACGGCAAGTATGGTGAGCAGGCTGGCGTGAGGACGGGCTGGTGGTTAGTTGGTTGACGTGTTGGGGCAGGTGGGGTATGGGGTGTGGGGGGCTTGTGTGGGGGCACCTGATGGCTGGTGCAAGCAGCTGACGGCAACGCCGTGCCCCACCAGCCCCGTTGAACATCATCGCTGTGCTGCCTTGCACGCGCACCCCACGCAGTGGTGGTGGCGGGCATCTCCCCCACGCCCCTGGGGGAGGGCAAGAGCACCACCACCGTCGGGCTCTGCCAGTCGCTGGGCGCGTACCTGGGCCGCAAGGTCCTCACCTGCATCCGCCAGCCCAGCCAGGGGCCAACCTTCGGCATCAAGGGCGGCGCCGCGGGCGGGGGCTACAGCCAGGTGCGCCGCGCGCGGCGCGGCAGGGCTCGCCCCGCTCACCTGGGCACGCCAGGCGGTGAGGGGGTGCAGTTTGGGCGTGCGCAGCAGCGCCAGGCACTTGAACAAGCACGGTTGTGTGCATGATCAGCCATGTCGTCACCGATGGCACACGATTGGGGCAGGAGTGGTGCTCATGTGTTGTTGGCACCCCCTCCTGCTCCCCCAACATCGCAGGTGATTCCCATGGAGGAGATGAACCTCCACCTCACCGGTGCGCTGGGGGCATGTGAAGTCCCACCCCGCCCTTGCCTCAGCTGACGCGCTGAGGCGCATAATGCTCGCGAGCACACCGACAGCACCTCATGGGCGAATGCCTGTCTTCTATTGCGTCATAAGGCGCGAACCGCGCAGCCAGGGCACCCCTCTCCCCATATACATCCAGACGCCCATCTTGCCGGCCCTCGACACACCAACACCCAGCCCTACCCGTGTTGGTACTGGAAAACCTCCCCCCCCCCCCCCCCCCGGGATTGCGCCGCGTGCTGCCGCAGGGGACATCCATGCAATCACGGCGGCCAACAACCTCCTGTCGGCGGCCATCGACGCGCGCATGTTCCACGAGCAGGCGCAGTCCGACGAGGCCCTGTTCAAGTGGGTTGGAAGCGTGTGCGGCTGTGTTGCAGTGGTGCGTGCATGCAGGTGTGTATGCGTGACGTGGTTGTGCAGACAAAATGAGACAATGGTGGTCAAAAGGCGGTGTGTAAATGTCATATTCTGGGACTTGGCTGGAGAGCAGGGTGGAGGGGAAGCTGCCTATCCTTGCTAAATCTTCAGCGGCCGCCTCCTAGGCCCATTTGAGGCCAAACCACCACTGCCCTCACGAGCCCTGCCCTTAAACCTGCAGGCGCCTGTGCCCGACCGACAAGAAGGGCAACCGCGCGTTTGCGCCCGTGATGCTTCGGCGCCTGAAGAAGCTGGGCATTGAGAAGACAGACCCCGCTCAGCTGACGCCAGAGGAGGTCTGTTGCAGGGCCGTGAGCTTGTGTGTGTGTGTGTGTGTGTGTGTGTGTGTGTGTGCATGTGTGCATGTGTGTTTGAATATGTGTGTGTATGTGTGTGTGTGTTGCCTTGTGCGTGTCATGTGTTCACTTTCTACATCTAGCCGTCAGCGCAGGGCTCCATGCAGCCACGTCAGGCCGGTATGTATGGCTGATGCACGAGCATGCGAACGACCCTTTGTTCCAGGTGTCGGCATTCGTGCGCCTGGACATTGACCCCGACAGCATCACCTGGCGGCGCGTCATGGACGTCAACGACAGGTGGGGGCGGGGTCAGCAGCGTGGACGCGAGCGCGTGCATGCATGCATGTGTGTGCGTGTGTGGGGGGGTGAGTGTGGTGGCCAGGGGTGGAACGCGCGGTGCAGTGTCTGGACCCGCACGTAGCTGCCTGCGTTGCAATACGCGTGTGCCTTAGAGGACAGGAAAGCGGTCTCCTTTGCGAGAAGTGGCGCTCGCCATCCCAGCGACAGCGGCGCCTCGCCAGCTCCATCTCTCTCCGTGTTCCCAGCTGGCATGCCTCAACCCCAACACAACCTTAGGTTCCTGCGCGGCATCACTGTGGGCCAGGGCACAGAGGAGCGTGGCCAGGAGCGCAAGACGGGTGAGCTTGCCCCCGCCGCTGCCCAAGCCTTCACTCCAAATAGCTGGGGATGCCCGCAGCATTGACTGCTGGGTGGAGACTCGGCTGCAGTGGCTTCCAAGGGTCGGACAAGGGTCCAAGCCACCAGTGGTTGGCCAGCCATGCCACAACCATACCAAACTTGCTGCGGCCTGGCTCCGCAGTGTAGCAGCCAACAGCACAGCCAACCCATCTCAACGACATGCGCTACGCCGCAGGCTTTGACATCAGCGTGGCCAGTGAGATCATGGCCGTCCTGGCCCTCAGCAGCAACCTGTCGGACATGCGGGAGCGCCTGGGGCGCATGGTGGGCACACGTTGTGTTGTTACGTGTATGTGTGTACGTGCACCCATACGTGCGCACACACACATGTGTGTGTGTGTGTTACTGGTTGTGCGTGTGCAAGTGCTTGTCTCTCTCTGTGCGGGCGCGCGTGCGGGCATGTGTTTTTTCATGCGTGCGTGTGCGCATGCACGAAACGGTTGGTGAGGTGAAAATGACAGTCACGAGGGTACACATGCAGTCTTTAAAAGGGGTTGCTTCGGCGTAGCTGCAGAACAAACCAGGCCCACAAGTTGTGGCTTTTGGCGCTGGAGCGGCCGCTCTGTCGCCTGGCTCCATCCTGCACTGACACCAGACTCTGCTTTGAACACCATTCAACACTTCCGTTGGCCTGACCAGCTAGCAACTGAGACTGCCCAACGATACTTCATCAACCGAACTCACATCAACCCAAACCCTTGTGCCCCTGAAGGTCATCGGCAACAGCCGCCAGGGCGCCCCCGTCACTGCGGACGACCTGGGCATTGGGGGGGCCCTCACGGTGCTCATGCGGGACGCCATCATGCCCACGCTGCTGCAGGTGTGTGATTGTGGGGCAGGGGTTGCGAGGCTTGTGTTGCAACAAGCAGTGACATCGCGGTTTGTCTGGCTCGTTGAACAAGAGTGGGCTTGTGAATGTGATGGTTCTGTGGCTTGCGATTTGTTTAAGCCAATATGCAACCAAATATACATCTGCGCGAGCTCACTCCCCAGATTTTATGTGTTCCAGTAACAAACATGCTCACCCTGCCCCCGCCTGCAGACGCTGGAGGGCACGCCTGTGCTGGTGCACGCCGGCCCCTTTGCGAACATCGCCCACGGCAACAGCAGCATCGTGGCGGACGAGATCGGCCTCAAGCTGGTTGGGGAGGAGGGCTTCGTCGTGACTGAGGTGGGCCGCCACGGCCAGGCCGGCCGGCTCACTGCCGGTGGCCGTCATGTGCTTTGGCGACGGCGCGCACGTGACAGCGGCGGCCGATGTCGGCGGCTATCTGTAGGGGCGTGCAGCTGGCGCGCTCACATGCCTTGATTTGTTTCAGCTCCTCCCCCCACCCGTAAGAGCTCGCACACACGCACTGTCCTTTGCGCCAGCCCGCCTACCCACCCCAGACACATGCCCTTGCTTTTCTGTGCCTTGGCTACTTGACAGCTGGCCCCGCCGCACTCCACACCACCAAATTGCAGGCCGGCTTTGGCGCGGACATTGGTATGGAGAAGTTCATGAACATCAAGTGCCGCGCCAGCGGGCTCAGGCCCAACGCCGCCGTCATCGTCGCCACGGTGCCCAAGGGGGGGGAATGGGTGGCGAAGGGCGGGAGGGGGCATATGGATTTCATGCGCTGCAGCGACGCTGCTGTGTCTGGTTCAACGGCTTGGCAAGGCAGGGGTGGAGTTCTTAGCCGCGGGTCTCATGAAATTGGCTGCGCTTGGTTCAAACATTTGTGGTCAAACGCTGTCCCCCAGGTGCGCGCACTCAAGATGCATGGCGGCGGCGCCCCCGTGGTGGCGGGCACCCCGCTGCCCCACGAGTACCTGACAGAGAACGTTGACCTGGTGACACAGGTGGGTGACACAGACGCATCCACCACCCCAAAAAGGTGGTTCCCGCACACTTGCGCGCCGGCAGTCAGACAGCCAGCCTGGTTTGCAGCGTTTGCAACAGGACGGCTGCTGCGTGCACGTCGGCCTGAGATCATACTGCCAACGAACGGGGGCTACGCGAGCTGCGATACCGTGAAAGATCGAGCCACCCCATGACCCTCAGCCCTGTCGGCACCACAGTGCACTAGCATCCCCGCCTTAGATGCAGCTGCCCGCCCCTTTCCATCGCGTCGCCCCCGCCCCAGGGCTGCTGCAACCTGGCCCGGCACATCAAGAATGCCACGGGCTACGGCATCCCCGTCGTGGTGGCCATCAACGCCTTCTCCACAGACAGCCCCGCAGAGCTGGAGGCCGTCAAGTCGGCCGCCCTCGAGGCCGGTGCGCACGCTCGCAGCGCCGTGACGCCTTGCGCGCCCTCCACAGCCCGTCCCAGCGACATGCTGCGCGCTGCGTTCCCCAGGCACTTGATACGCCCGAGTGAGTGACACGCATGTACTCAGGAACTGAACTCAATAGACGCCTGACGCCCACCCCACCCATGCTTGCCGCGCCGCCCAGGCGCGTTTGCTGCTGTGGTGACGCGCCACCACTCCCTGGGGGGCGCCGGCGCGGTGGGCCTGGCGCGGGCGGTGGTGGCGGCGTGTGAGCAGCCGACAGACTTCAAGTTCCTGTACGATGTTGACCTCCCTATCAAGGTCTGTCGCTGGCCAAGGCACAGCCGCCGGCCTGCCGCCCTTCCTCTGGTTGTTGCCCTGCGGCAGCCGCGTGAGCTGCATCGAGGGGCTTAAGGGCTGGAGTGTTGGGGATTGTGCTGTGCACTGTGTTGCAAGACAGTCTGGCTGGAAGCGGCCACGCAACAACCACACCTCGCCGGACCGCAGGACAAGATCGAGGCCATTGCGCGGTCGTACGGCGCGGCGGGGGTGTCGTACTCCCCAGAGGCAGAGGCTCAGATCGCCAAGTACACGGCCATGGGCTTTGACAAGCTGCCCATCTGCATGGCCAAGACGCAGTACAGCTTCAGCCACGACGCCAAGCTCAAGGGTGAGGGGAACGATGCCTGGGTTGTGCTCGTGCGGGCGTGTGTGAGAAAGACAGAGCGAGAGAGAGAGAGAGAGAGAGAGAGAGAGAGAGAGAGAGAGAGAGAGAGAGAGAGAGCGTGCGTGCGTGTGTGCGTGTGTGCGCTCGCGCGGGCACGGTCATTGTGCCCATGTGCGCCCCCCCTTCCTGCACGTGCCCCAGTGCGTGCAGGGGCCTGTGCCCTGCACATGCGCGCGTACTTCTGCGCCCTGCCTAGCCAATTCAAACCAACCCCCTCGTCCCCTCCCCACAGGTGCGCCCAGCGGCTTCACGCTGCCGATCCGCGACGTCCGCGCCAGCGCGGGCGCTGGCTTTGTCTACCCCCTGGTGGGCAACATGATGACCATGCCCGGCCTGCCCACGCGGCCCGCATACTACGACATCGACATTGACGCCGCCACGGGGCGCGTCCTCGGCCTGTCGTGATCTGGACAATCCTGGCGCGCCCAGGGGCCTCAAATGGTGTCGAGGCCTTGATTTTTGGTTCGTCAGAGCACTTGCTAAACTTCCCGTGCGACGAGGCTGGGTATGCTGTGGCGGGTGCCTGGCACAAAATTTTTTGGTGGCCATAAGGCCAGGCTAAGCCTTGGTGCCATCCCACTGTGCTGGCGTGTTCGGCTATTCGGCTGCAAATTTTGGCTGGGGGCTTCCTCTTGGCTTCGTGCAGCACCGCTGCTGCTGGAGGCATGCCATATCGCTGACGCACTGGTGGCTTGGGGCGGCATGTCTGGATGCTGCTATGGATCGACGTGGGCCGGGCGCGTCACATGTTCAGACGCGCACCCACCACACAACTCGTCTAAACAATCGCGCCGGCATATCTGCACGCCCTCTGGCCGATTGTGGTGGTAGCCTGGACTTGCGAGTGCGCACGGCGTGGCGCCACAGAGCACGCAAGGCACAAGCCCTTGGTAAACAGTATATTTCACTGTAATGTGTGCGACAGCCCTCCCAAATCACTTGAGACGACGCCTGGCTGACGCGGACCAGATCAGCTGCTGCAGTGATTACATGCACGGCCGACGACAACTCAAGAAAGCAGACGCCTGAAGGTTGGACCGCCGCGGCCCTCTCCTGCCACCGTGCCAAGTCGTGCGCAGCCAAAAGCAGCGGCTCATTGACACGAGCTCCCCACGCCGCAGCGCAAAGCACCTCCTTGAACCCACGCCCGCAACACACAAGCTGCTCAGAACTCGCCGCCGAAATCCGCCGGGGCAGGGGCGAACACCTCGGGCGCGGGCGCGGCCTCAAAGCCGGTGGCAGGCACGGCCTCGAACCCGCCCCCGGCGGCCTCGAAGCCGGGCGCGGCGCCGGCGGCGTCGTAGCCGGGGGCGGGGGCGGCCCAGTTGTCGGTGGCGGCAGGGGCGGGCAGGGCGCCGAACTCTCCGTAGTCACCGGCCTCCTCAGCCTCGGCCTCCTTGGTCTCCTCGGGCTCCCTGGTCACAATGATGGGGGGGGGGGTGATGTCAGCGTTGGCATCGGGCATAACGCCCGGGTGGACAACAGCCACAGCCAAACCTCAGTGCACCCCACTGGCGCCGAGGCGCCCTAACCCCGCCGATCAAAGGCATACACATGAGCCAGCGTGCTCTGCAGCCGCTGCGCCCGGGCTCCATCCTGCTGGCGCCCCCAAGTGTGGCATGTCAAACGCCTCACGTCGACAAGCCTGACATATGAGGCCAGCCCCCACGCCACAACCCGTTGCAACCACCAGATTCAACAGGTCAAACAAAGCCGATGCACCCATCCCCACAGGACCCTCGAACGCTGCCTGGCACGAAGGGTCGAATTGAAAGAAGCACTTCCGATCCTGCCTTTCCCTCATCAAAACCACAGCCATACCCAAGCCCCCCCTTTGCCCCCCAGCCACCTGTAGAAGAAGAGGTCGACCTTGACGTCCCAGGGGTTGGCCTCGCTGACGGTGCCCCTCATCTGCAGCACCATGCGTGCCAGCAGGTAGTACAGCACGCCGATGCTGTGCTTGCCCTTGTTGTTGGCCGGGATGGCCACGTCAACAAACTGGGGGGTGAAAGAGAGGGGGGGATACGGGCGCGTGAGTGGGTGCGTGGGTGGAGGGGGGGACGGCGCAGGGCTACTGCTGGCTTGAGCAAAAAGCCGCAGGCTGCCCGGCGCGGAGGCCGCCCCCGCAGCGCGTCATCGCGGCGCCTTCGACCGCTTGAGATGCCCGCCTGCTTGCAGCCACTGCTGCAGGCGACCTCTGCAAGAGGAAATCAATGATTTGCGGCCCGCAGCTCCCCGCTTGTCGAGCCCAGCCCCCGCGCCCTCGCCGTCCGCGGCTCGCCTGCAGCGCCGAGTCAGTGTCGCAGAACGCGATGGTGGGGATGTTCATGTAGGAGGACTCCTTCACAGGCTGGTGGTCGGTGCGGGGGTCCGTGACGATCAGCAGGCGCGGCTCCTCAAACTGCTTCTGGATCTGGTTGGTGAACGTGCCGGGCGTGTGGCGGCCCGCCATGCACTTGGCCTGGAGGTACTGCGCAAACTTGAAGACCGCGCGCTGGCCGTAGGGGCGCGCAGACAGCACCACCACGTCCTGCGCACGAGTGTGTGTGTGTGTGTGTGTGTGTGTGTGTGTGTGTGTGTGTGTGTGTGCGCAACCGCGTGAAGGGGCACGCCCGGTCGCAGGTCCACGTACACTGCTCCGCGCTGCCTCGGATGCCTGCGGTGTCACGCTCACGTTCTGCGCCACCTTCCCCCCTCTCTCGCCGCTGCTCGCAGGCCACAGCCACCGCTGCAGACACCCCCGGGACCGCGATGTACCGCCACCGCCAGCCAGCCGGCCGCACTTTCACCCCGCCCGCCCGCGAACCCGTGTCACCTGGGGGTTCTCGATGGCGACGATGACGCGCGCGGCCAGCTGCAGCTTCTCGTAGGTCTTCTCCAGGTTGATCACGTAGATGCCGTCGTTGCGGCGGCGGTACACGTAGCGCTCCATCTGGAGGAAGAGGATTAGGGCGCGCGCGCTACGGCGTGAGCGCGGTGACGCATGTGCTCACTTATGTTATATGTGTGAGCCCCTCGACCGCAAGCTCAAGCCGTTCGGAGGGCTCCCGCTGCTGCTTGCGCCGACACAGAAGGCCGCATGTCGTCCGCGCATCTCGCTCCTCAGGCCGAGCTCCGGCGGCACTGGGGGCCCGCTTTACTGCTGTGTGTGAGGGTGCTGCCAGCGCCGCCGTGGGACAACCGCGTCCACAGGCTGTGCCTGGCGCGGCCGTGCATGCCAACCACTGCCACTGACTGCACAGTTGCTCGCTGCAGCCGCTGCGCCACGTTTGGCAATCAATCACTCGCTGCTCGCGCAGCCTCGGGACGGGTGATCGCGGCGCGGCTGCACGCGTCTCTGGACTGCCACACAGCTCCTGCGACGCTGACCTGGACATGACGCCGCCAGCTGCTGCTGGCAAACAATGCAGCAGCTGCTACTTTCCCTGCCGCTGGCACCGAATGCTACGGAAGCAGCGCTCATAGCCAGAACGCTGGCGGCAGCTTCCTAACTGCCTAGGCGTTGGCAGGCCGCATCACTGTTGCACAGCCGCGTGACATACAATCAATACAAGTCTGGCCAGCAGACCTCGCCGGGCCGCATTCGCTGCCTTCCCCCCGCACACCGCGGTCCCGCTGCTCAGTGCGTACTGATGGTCAAGCGCTGCAGGCGCTGCGGTCCTGCTGCTGCAGCGATTGCTACAGTGTGCATATTGACACTGCTGAGCTGCACATATTGATGCTGGTGCTTTTCGCTGCTGCTGCTACTCCTGCTGCTGCTGATGGCGCTTGCTGCAAACGCTGCTGCTGCTGCTGCTGCTGCCCAGGTCACGTTGCCGAACAGCGCGGACAGCCGTCGTGCAGGCGGCGGCAAGACCGCATGCTCCATGATCCGTTCACGGCAGCCACTCATTCGCCCACCTGGAAGGAGCAGTTTTTGGTGCCCAGGTGGCAGCCAGCCGCCAGCAGCAGCTGAATGTCGGCCTCCTTCTGAGAGAGCGCCATCTTTGCTGGAGCCCCTGCGCCGCAAGAGCGCGCCGGAAGCGTGTGGGTGGAACGCCCTGCTAACTCCCAACCAGATGAGGTTGGCGTCTTTGTCCTTCCCGACGCTGCTGATGCGCTTGTGCGATCTGCAGTGCACACTTCGTCTGCACCGGGGCTCGTCCCTCGTCCGCGGCCAAGCTCTCGTCACGCTGCCTAATAAATCTATTTGAACACCATCAAACGCCTTGCCGAACGCCGTCTGCTATGCAGCCTGCTGCTCCCAGGGCGGCTGCTGCGCTAGTGGCCCGCCGCAGCGCTCACTGTGGCTTCACACAAGCTGCTTTTGCTGATGCCTTGGCTGGAAGAGGACGAGGGCACGACCAGCTTGGCACTATGGGGCAAAGTTTTCGTCCCTCCAGGTTCCCCTCGATAACCTGGCTTACCCGTATCGTGGTCCGGCGCAAATGTCTTATTAAGTCGTACGTGATGCGAGATTGATGCCGAGCAACCCAGGAAGGAGGCTTGCGACGATCTGCGATCAATGAATTGCGCGCCCATCGTTGGACCGCGCTTGTACTGTGTTTCCACAATTCGTGCAGTAACACATAAAATTGCTCGAATAAGCCACACGCGCGCACGGACCTTCAACTCAGCCGTGCTGACGCGCCGCCCGACGACCAGCAGCACCAGCTCGGACACCGGCAACGGCAGGCGCGCCAGCGGCGCTCGCCCGGCGGCAATGGCGAGCGCGGCCAGCAGCCCTGCATCTGTCGATGCAGCGATATTGGAGGGCGCGCGCCGCCTGATACCACCGCTGACAGGTGCGCGGCCGTCTGGCCTGCAGACCTGGGTCAGCGGCACCGGCCGGCCTGTGTGCGTGGGACATGCGCGGCAGCTGCATGCGGGCGACATTGCATCAAATACTGCTGACGCAGGCGCGTCCTTGGGCCGCCGCCCGGCCACTGACCCATGCAGCCTCCGGCCACAAGGGGCAGAACGGCAAGGTGGGCGTGCTGGGCGGCTGCCGCGAGTACACCGGGGCGCCCTACTTTGCAGGCATCGCTGCCGTCAAGGTCAGTGCGGCGTATGGTGCAAGTGAGTGCTGTGATTGTAGATCTTTGATTATCAGAAAACCCAAGGATACGCCAGGCACGATCAAAGGGCGGGCGTTCGCCGAGGCCTCATGCCCAGGTGTGAGCCACTCACCCTGAGAACCGCGCTCGCGGCTTGTGAAAGGGATCATTCCCTCGTGGCGTGCCGGCACGTGCCTTGTTTTGCTCGCCCTCCCCTTTAAATCCAATGACATCAAAAGGCAACAACAGACATCACATCATCCATGCCCTGCGACCGTGAGCCCGCACACAACTCGCAATCAACATTCAGACTCGAAAGGCCCGCCGCCGCCCCGCAGGTCGGCGCTGACCTGTCCCACGTGTTCTGCACCCCGGGGGCGGCCCCCACCATTAAGGGCTACAGCCCCGAGCTCATTGTGCTGCCCTTCCTGCCGGTGGGTGACACCCCACCACCAGGGCCCCCTGCAAGCCCACCCCCCTCCCTCTCGCCGTGCCCTGCGCCCTGCCCGCTACGCCGTGACGTGCGCCGGTGGGTCCTCTGTGACACGCCCAGGCTGGAAGTTTGGCGGCTGTGCAACTGCCACCACCAGGCGCTTGCGCCTGTTGCCGGCCTGCCGACCTTGGTTCCTCCAGCCTGCATCTCTCACGAGCGGCCCCTCGCCCTCGAAGCGCCGCTGCTCATCGACTCCCAACCCGCCCCTCTCCCCTCACCCCTTGAATTCCGTCCCTACTTTTGTCTACTCCATCCCTTGGATTCCCATAGGATGAGTCGTCCCCGCTGGACCCCCAGGGCTCCGCCAAGCTGGTGTCCCAGATCAAGGCCTGGCTGGGCCGCATCGGCTGCCTGGTGGTGGGGCCGGGGCTGGGCGACGACCCGGGGGTGGTGGCGGTCAGCAGGACCGTGCTGCGCGAGGCACGCGCGGCGGGGCTGCCCCTGCTGGTGGACGGCAGCGGCCTCAACTTTGTGGCGCAGGTGGGGGGATTGGATTGGGAATGGGGGGAGAGGCGTGCGGGGCGCGCGGAGGTCGCGGTCGGGGCGCACTCACGGCACCCATGGGCAAGCAGAGGGCGCGGCTATATGTATGGTGATGTAGCAAACGGATTGCTTTCGTCTAGGCTGATGTGACAATCGGACCGATTTATGGGGTTGCCAATCAACGAAGCTGTGTGGGGGTTGACGCGATGGCCGGGCCACCCAGCACGGACTAGGGCACGGCACACCGCCTGTATGCCCCCCCCCCCCCCCC